CTGGCATCATGAAGGAGAGGGATCCTAGTGCTGTATTTAAAGCAAAGCATGAGCCCTGGGTACATCTGGGTTCTGTTCTCAGTCGTGCTCCAGGTTTTCTCTGAAGTTTGCCCTACTTACTCCGAGTCTGTATGCCCCAGCCTCTCTCCCTGTGAAAACAGGGCTGTAATATTTTTCCTGCATCTTAAAAGTATTGGGATTGTGAAAGACTCGGATACTTGAGTGGAGATGTAATTAAAAATGCAAGATAGGGTGGATTAATTATACCCCAGGCCTCTGGTAACAGAAGCCAAATGTCTTGTTCTTTGGTTTTATAAGGAAGAAATATGTGTTTGGACCATGTATGGGGGTTGAAGCAGAGCTGGGAGCTGGGGAAGCCGTGGTGGGGAGAGCAGGGACTGCAGCTCCCCCCAGATCTGCACTGGGGCTGCTGGTGCCGCTGCTGGGATTTAGTTAAGCACAGAGAGGGCTTGATTCGGGGAGTTGCTGAATCACCTGGAGCTGCTGAGTGAGCAGGGCACTGACCCCAGCCTGGCTTTACAACCACCTCGACGCCAAACAGCCCCGTGGTGGTGTATGGGGCAGGTTTGGGGTTTGGTTTCTTTTGTATATGGCCATGCGCAGCCATCGTGCTGCTTTGCCTCCTCGCTCCGTGTGTGTGTGTGTGTGTGTGCGCACGACTGCAGCACGCACGCCCTTCTTGGCCAAAATGCCTGGTGGTAAAAGATGAACCTGAGCGTGGATTCGGCATGCCAGGGTTAACCTCCAACCTGCTGGCAGCCAACGCAGCTCCAGCCCTGTTTCTTGTTTTGAGAAAAGGGGGGGGAAAAAAATCCCAGCCCTGTTTGATTTGTTCCTCTAATAGCAGCTGATCTGGACTGGATTTTGTCCAAGGCTTTATGTGATTATACGGCCCAATCCCCACAGTGTGTACACAAAGCTATTAAAAAAAAAAGATGAGACATTATAAAACACAGTCAGGCTTTAAAAAGGCCTGCTTAAACTGTAAAGAACAGTGAACTTCTGCCAGGGATTTTGATATTTGGTTGAAAATTGAAATCCCCTTGCAAGATTTGTTACATTATTGAGCAATAAGTATCCCTAGTTAAATAATGAAAAAAACCCCCAGTTTTACTGGTGTTCTGCTAGTGAGTTGTCAAGCGAAAATAAAACCAAATATGCCCGTGTATGAGCACTGAAGCAGAGTTCCTGCAGGAAGGGAAAAGCAGATTGATGGCCGTGGTGCGTCTCTCTCTTGTAGAAACATGACAACGTAGAGAAAAGAGAGGACAGGGAGCTCACTTGTGGCGTGCGTAAGAATTGGCTGAGCAGCAAAGCCCTTATTTTCTCTGGATAATTTTTTCCTAAGTGAGCAAATGCCTGCTATAGAAATGGCAAACATTTTCCGAGCGAGGTTCCAGGTAGAGAGTGTTGACTTGCGTATCTGAGAAATCACTTAAACTGCAAACTTCATGAGCAGATGTCAGTGTTTTGAAGCCGTTTGACATTATTAAAGATGCAGGTGGTACGTTGGCACTACTGACTCAGCTCTGGGCAGTGATGGGCATTGCCTGGGAGACGCAGTATCACATCACATCACTCTTCCCGAAACTCCGGTCACGCTCAATGAGGAAAGCCAGGCTAAGATGAACTATAAATCTCAAAATACATATTTTTAGTAAAAATTACGTGTGAAGTCCAATTTTAAAATATTATAATAATATTGATGTTACTGGTGTGTATGTCATTTTTCACGTGTAACAGGAAACACACCAGATCTTTCAAGTCAGCTTAGGCCAAACCTAGTAGACTGTGAAATTCTAGAGAAGAAAGGGATTTAAAAATTGCAGTTTTGTCTCCAACCTCCTGTTTTCTTGCTGCTCCCAGATTTCCCCAGGTGCCTTCTCATTTTCATCAGCTCCCAGCAGCCAGAACCTTGTCATCTAATATGTTTTTAGAGTGTATTGAGTCCAAATGACCAGTACTCAATGACCAAAACATGCCTGGTCAAGGCTGCTTTTCAGGGTCTTGTCTCTAAGCCCGGCCTGATCCTGCAGTGTGCCCAGCTCTCTCACCTCCCTCCTCGCTGGCACTCTGCTGCAGATGGCTCTTAGAATCATAGCATGGTTTGGGTTGGGAGGGGACCTTGAAGATCATCGAGTTCCAACCCCCCTGCCATGGGCAGAGACACCTCCCACTAGATAAGGTTGGTCAAAGTCCCATCCAGCCTGGCCTTGAACGCCTCCAGGGATGGGGCAGCCACAGCTTCTCTGGGCAACCCATTCCAGTGTCTCACCACACCCATCATAAAAAATTTGATCCTTACGTCCAGTCTAAACCTAGCCTTTTTCCATTTAAAACCATTGCCCCTTGTCCTGTCACTACAGGTCCTTCTTCTCCACTGACAGCAGCATTTCTTTTGGTCGTCTCTCCACAATAATGGGGAAGGGAGCGTGGCAGGACTTAGTGTCCAAAGGAGTATTAATTTCCTCCCCATGGGGCTCCAGAGCACCTACCAGCGAGGCTGCGCTCCTGGTGCTCCTAACCAGTGATGATCTAACCCAGAGAGCGGCACTTCACAATTCCTAGACCTGTGGTTCAAACATTTATGCTACTCCTTACACTTGAAGGGACACAGAGTATCTCCAAAATAGAACTTGGTGGGGGGGTTCATGGGTTTGGGTTTTTTTTGTTTGTGGGGTTTTTTTGTGTGTTTTTTTTAAGTGTGAGCACTTTATGTCCCAGGCGCAAATGTTTGCAGGGCAACAGATGCTGCAGTGGGACCATGCCTGTAACCAACGCCGGGTGAGATACCTGCTTGCCCTCTGCTGCCTGCACAGGACGCTGCTGCTTGGCCCTCCGGTGAAAATGGCCCAAACATGAGAAATGAGTATGTGTGTGTGCTGAGCCAGCTTCATGCCAGGTGACAGCTAAAGGACTGGGACTGAGGCATATTCCTTAGGATCTTTTGTGTCAGGCCCTTGGGCTGGTGGACCTGGAAGGGATTGCTAGAGGAAGAATGCAAGGTGAAAGCCCTGGAAAGCACAGTAAGGTCCCATAGGTTTAATCTGAACTTACTTAAACCATGTGAATTTGGCAGGTTGAGTGTCCAAGTTCATCTGGCTGAGACACCGTGGAATCAAAGAGAAAGAAATCTCCTTTTCACTTGGTTCCAGGTGGAGCAAGATAACTTGTTCTGGCTGCCTTTCAGTGTCCCAGAAATGTGTAATGATGTATGCCAAAGTGTGTGCCCCTACCCTCTGGGGGAGAGTTCAGTATCTGCAATAAACTTGCAGATCCTAAAGCATGCCTAGAACAAGAGGATGCTTTTCAAAAGAAGCTGGCAAGTTCTCACCATCGCCTTCAGCAGTTGCAGTTCAGCCAGCTGATTTAATAAGGGACTTCAATGTATGTTCTTCTTCCAAAAAAACAGATTCCCCTTTACTATTCAAATCAACAATCGACCTAGGGAAAAAAAAGAGTTTGCAAATATGATTGTTTCCTTCAACCTGTGAGTTACGCTGCTTTCCTGCTCAGCTGGCACTGTTTTGACACGTAGGTGTGAGTATTTAACATGCTAATTAAATGCCTTGTGCCATACAGGCACTGGCCCCTTTTAGCATTTGCTTGAAAATTCCCCGAGGAGCGGGTGCTGTGCCCGTGCTGGAGCAGCAGAGCTGCCCATTGCCACCTCGCACCGGGACCGAACCTCGGGGACATGTGCACCCAGACTGAGCCACAGCCACTGCCAGGTCCCCTCTGCTCCCTGAGAAACGTCTGGTGCAGCAGAAAATGGGAACTGAAGCAGAAGCATTAACTCTTTGCTTTCCTTTGGAGAAAACCCATGGAAAAAATTATTCCTCAGTAGTATCCTGGAAGAGTAGTTCATGTATGGGATGTTTAACAGTGGTGAGAATCACCTACACTTTCATACACGATAAAATATTACGATGATTTATTACATGAGAAACCTTTCGATTAGATTTAATGAGGTTCCACTGTATTGGTTTATTAGAAGGGAGACAGTGCTCATTAAAATAATTTCCAGAGTTAAACTGGAAACATTATTAGACATATTTGGGGATATGAAAGTCCCATCTATAGGAAAGGCATGTATTTGTCTGAATGTGAAAGCAGAGAGATCTTTTTAAATGTGAGGAAGGTGACAGACAGCAATAGTTCAGTTTTCCAAACTGAAATTTTAGCTCTGGTCAATGCTTATTTTCAGGTTCTGCATTATGTCCGTGAGCAGTCTTGTTTTCCCACCAAGAAATATGTTGGATAAGGTTTGCAAGAAAAAGATCTGCGTTTCAACTAGATAAAGAACAACTGAGTCTGTGGTAGCTGCTAACTCAATTCTGTAGTCTGAAAATAAGGGACGGAAGGGTTTTGTCCTGGAGAAGCAGAGTGACAGCTTTGTGCTCAGCTTTCAGAGCACCTCAGGCTTCTCTCAGAATGATTTATTTTTCACTTTACTCTGTATTTATTAAACCGTTTGTGCAATGCATTATAAAAGCTGGAAACACAGCAGCAAAAATCCATTTTCCTCATGTACTGCCCATCACCAGTGACATGAAAGCCTTGGCACAGCCCGTCAGCAGAGCACGGGTGAGTGTCAGACACACGTTTCTCTCCTGAGTCACACAAGAAAGGAAAACTTATTGAAATTGTGTGTTTGCGCTGGACCGGACAGCCTGAAAACTCTGCTTAATGACACGAGAGGAGTTTAACGTAATTTAAAGCTAGTCTGATCACTAATCTCATCATAAATAAAGTCGTGGGCTTTTTCTACTTCCCCAGCTCCCACCAACTTCATTGTTGGTTGATGTCAATGGGAATGGGCGCCCTGGGTCTGCAGTGGTGAGTCTGACATTTTAATGAGCCACGCTACAGGATCTGAGCAGCACTGAATACCCTGGCCTCTATAGATTACACAGACTTAGGAGAGTGGGAGAGGAAGAGAGAGGCTGAGATAAAAAAAACCCCTCTTTTTTGCCTAGCTTTACACCGACTGGAGCAGAGAGAGCCATCAGCAGGTGATAGGATTGGATCCAAGTCTTGAATCTTTCCTTCAAAAGGCCAGAGCTTGCAAAGGGTCTGAATAAAACATGAGGTAGAAAATTTTGTCTCACTTCTACTGTGAAGAAAAATTAGCGGTGGAACAGGAGCGCCCCTTCCCTGGTTTGATTGTAGCTGCAATCCCAGGAACTAATTACAATTTGGCCACTGGGTACCTGGCCAACAAACACTTGTCTTGTATGGAAAATTTATTTCTAGATTTGTTTAATTGTCTCACAACTTTTTTTTTCCTAACAAAAGATTTGTTCCACTTAAATCACAGAGTGCCTGGCCATTGGCTTTATGTGGAAAATAAATAAAGACAGTGGATGTTTGTCCTCTATTTGTTAGAGCGTCACGCTGCAGTACAGCTCAGGGCACCTGAAGTTGAGCACCTGAGTTGCCTGTGTGGTCATGCAACCACAAATGACACCCAAAGGTTGACCTAAGACATCCAAGGGAGGTGTTGAAAGGCAGGAGGTGTGACTACAACTTCTGTGTCCATTCAAGTGGGAGATGAAAGGATCTATGCCCCTTTCATGAGCCACCTCACCATTTGTAAGATGAATCAAGTCTCTCTAATGTCTCTGAAACTAATTTTTTTTTTTACTTTTCTTTATTTCTCTTTTTGTTCACTGTGATGGCCAGAGCTGACCTGCCACTGTTGGGGCCCACAGTGCTAGGACATCATCATCTGACAACACAGTGCAAGGTAGGCTGACAGCCATGTAGGATAGACCTCTCAATAGAGCAGTGTATGTGCCTGCTGCCTCTCTAAAATTGTCTCTAAAATGGGAAAAGCTTCACTATGAGGATCTCTTTCCCCGCATGAATGGAAAGGGGTCCAACCAGACCTTGCTCTCTGTTGAGACCAGGAACAAGACTGCAAGCTCAATTTTTATGTCACTGACACCAGCATGGAAGTTCTTTCTGAAAATGCACAAAGCCTATTCACTTCATTTCTCAGAGCGTAATCAACTGTCACGGGACAGGAGAAACATTTTGTCACTATCACCCTGACTTAATTTGAATTTCATTTCCAGGAAGAATGCAGTGTGTGATGAAATCACCTCACCACTTCTGGTGTGCTGCCAGTGATGCAGGTGATAGCTGGCTGCAGCTAGCTGTCCCTTTTTATGTCCTCTTGGCCATCCTCAGCAAAACCCACATAAAGCAGGACATCGCACCTCCTTCATTGTACAAGCAGGGAAAGTTCCAGGTTATGATGAGCAATGTCCTTCACTAACCTGGGAGAAGATTCTTGTCACCTACTTTTGTACTCAGCTTGCTTCAGGTGGGAATTTTAAGCAAGGCAATGAATATGTTTTTCTTTTCTACAGAAAAGCAAGCCTCTCAGTAAAAGACCTGAAAGTAGAGGAGCTACCTCATCTACTTCTCCTGTGCTGGACTGCTCATGGCCTTGTTTATTTTTCATATCCAGAGCAGTTATTTTTCATATCCAGAGCAGTTTTGCATACACCAAGGGGGGACTTCCACCTCTGCTTTGGGAAACTCCACCAACTTCTGTTACTTCGTACCTGTGTCCATGCATAAAACACATTTTCTCCTTTCTGTAAATTCATCCCATTACATCTAATCTTATCCCAAATGAGCCACCCTTGGTGTTTATAGCCTTCGAATACTTGCAGAGGGCTATCATATCCTCCTCCTTTAGTCATCATTTGGAAAACTTGTTTATGCCGAATTCTTTCAGCCTTTCCTCATCCAGCCGTTCCCTCCCACCTCTCCTCTGCGGCGGTGCTCTTGGAAAGCCCTCCAGCCTGTCTGCATCACCCGGGGCCGGAGGTGCACAGCCCAGGTGTGGAGCCCTCCTGCAGCCCCAGCACCTCCTCACTCTGCGATGCGGTACCTCGGTGGGCAGCCCCAAATCACACGGGCTTCTCCTGTCCCACCTTGCAGCAGCGGCTGCTCGCTGATGTGCCTGCTTTCCGGGTTCCTCTGTACCATTGACTAGCAGCATTTCAGATTATTTCCCCCAAATGTATTAGCTTCAATTTTCCCAAGCGCAGTCTAATTTGGTTATTTCCTGCTCATATTTCTAACCTCTCCTGCTTCCCTCAAATTGCTGCTGCATCCTCCCTCATTTGCTTCAGACCGTTTGGGCCAAATTACAGAGAAAGCAGAGGGGAGCCAGGATGTGTATCCAGGCTCTCTGCCAGCCATTTTTGCAAAGAAATCACCCAGGCCACAAGATCCCACCTCCCGCAAGTCACAGTGACAGACTTAGTGAATGGCCTTTCTTTTTCCAGCCTACCTGCTTACACGGGCAGGGTTGGTACTGGCCACCAGCTGACCCGTGTGGTCACAGGGACCTGAAGTTTTCCAGCTCCTACAATGACCTGCAAGTTACTCCTGGGTCCTCAGGGGAGATCGTCAGGTATTATTTCCAAGCAGTGATCTGAGGTCAGACAGAAAATTGAACGTGTCCTGGTTTTCAGATGCCAAATGCTTGTAGTTTCCATCAGTGCTTTTTGGCCATCGTGCTACCTAAAGAATGGAGCTCTGGGTGCGATTTGACTGAGAGCAGGAAAGTTCACCACCTTTGCATTTCACCTCTGAAATTGCTTTTGTGTAGGTGAATGAATTTCAGCAATTTTGGAATTGTTTGCCTACCCGTGTGTGCATGTGTGTGTGTTCTGGGTTTGGAACCAGAGACCAGGCAGAGAGACATTAGTACTCCTTGACAGCACAGGGACTGAAGGGGTGATGACAAGGGCCACTGGAAGTCTCTGGCCTTGCTTGGGAGCGGGGTGGCCTGTGCTTTAGCCAGCAGGCTGTTGCATATTTTCCATCTTCATAAATAGCCAGAATCGCCTCACACCTACATAAGCTGCTTTCCAGGAGGTGACCTGCTTTCCTGAGTCCAGCCATTTAATCAAACTGGGCTTTGTTTTTGGTTTAGTTCTTTGTGTAAAGTTACTCCTGGTTCATGAACGCTTTCAGCAGCTGCTCATGGCCTTTCATCATTGCACCTCTCACTTCCCTGCGGCTTTTTCTCGCTTGGCGACTGAGGTATCACATCTGCTGACGCAAAGCGAGCGGTCCTAATTTCACTGCCTTCAGCTTTTAGAAAAAATGGCTCTTTAGTAGAAAACAGCTTACATTTCACTGGACTGCAAATGGTCCTGCAAACTAATATTTACAAAGTTGGACTCAACCCGTGGCTCATTCCCGGTACCTGGCTGCCTGGCACTAGGGCAAGCAGGGCCAGCTCCTTGGAGCAGCTTACGTGGTGTGTCCCCCAGGCCCTTAACAGCCTTAATGACACACAGTCATCACCTGTGTGAGCCCCCCCTGCATGAGACCGGTCCCCTCTGCTCCCTCCCTGCCCCAGCAGGCTGACATCGCATGGGCAGGAAGATGACCTCCAGCCCCTCAGGCCAGATGTCAAATCTAAATTTCCCAACAGCTCTAACTACAGCGTTAGGGGTTAAAGGCGAGCTGTCTCTGCCAGCCTGGCGGCAGCCAGGGCTGGTGTGCCTTGCACAGACATCATTAGTGGAGACCCCTGTGCCTTGGAGTCCCTCAGGGAGGGGAGGAGGAGCCTGAGCTCCTGCACAGCTCTAGGTGAGAAGGTGAGAACTCCTGCTGCAAAGGCAAGGGCTCAGGGCAGACCTCCAGCCAAGAGCCCTGGGTTACCAGGAAAACTTAAGCACCTCCAGTCCCCACTGGGGGGAGAACCCCACTCCCACAGTGGGATTAGTGGGATTCCTCTCTCCTCACTCTACAGCGGAGCCATAGACCCCAGCGTATGGGAGTGGGCGAGCCCCTTATAGGCAGTGGGGAGAGGGAAAGCCCTTTTGGGTACAATTCACCTGACTTTATATACCCACCTCCTTTTGGATGAGGTGACTCCAATCCTAGAATTCAGCAACTGAACCCAGGAGAACTCTGCTGACTACAGAACTGAGAGGCGGTGGTGGCTTCCCCAAAACCTCCTCGTAGTCCCTGTGTGGAGCCATAAGGTGGATTCAGGTACAAGATGCTCTGCAAGTCTGAAGGCTGAAAATGGACAAAAGGAAGAGTGAGTAGGCAGGGCATTGTAGTGGTCACAGTGAAAAAGCCATTTATAGCTGCTGCCATGCCCTCCCTTAGCTTACCCATTCCTGGCCATCCCCTCTGGTATCCAGGAGCAAAAGCTGAGGAACTATTGGGCCTTCAGCTGTGGTAAGTGCTGTAAAAAGTGAGAAAGGGAGACTTTGAATGATGTAGCTGCCCTGGCACTCCAGTTGTCTGTGCCTACCCAGTCCCAGAACCAGGGGAAACAGCCCAGAGGTGTCCTGGCTGGTGGGCTGGGAGCCAGCGCAGGTCCCCTGATGTCAGTGCAGTGCTGTGCCCAAGCTAACAAACCCAGGGCTTATTAGCTCAGGTGCAATGGTAGGCGAACGCGTCAGTGCTGCTGTCAGACCCACTGCTATGGGCGCAAACACCGGGCTGCACCTCGTGGCGTTACCAACTCTCTGTGCGTGGGCAGCCCTAGGCTGGTGTGGAGCGTACAGGGCTCATAACCACTGCTGCTTCAGGCCACACATGCAAGGCCCATCTCCCTCCCCTTCTATATATCCCATGAAAAAGTCACAGCAAGTGCAAGAGAAGCCTGGTTTTGGTCACCCATTTGGATCTATGCCTTGGAAAGCAGCAAACTGCCAACGACCTTCTGGCATGAGTAGTTTAACCTCACTCTGTTCGCTCCCTCGTCCTGGACAAATGTCCCTTCGCTTCTCACTTGATGTTAGAGACCTCCTGTCTCCTCCTAGACATTAAAATATGTCTTACAGGTTGGAATTGTTGGGGTCCCAAAATGCTTTCTAGAGATGTGATGTATGCAGGTGACAAGACATTGTCACCAGTGTAATGGGGTGAGAAGACTGCTGTTGGTTAGCACATTCAGCCCTTCCTAACAGAGTTCCCACTGCAAGGTGAAAGAAACTTAAGTATTCAGCACATGATGCGCTTAAAAATAATAGGGGTGTGTGGGGGTGGTTTCTCTGCAACCCCCTGCTCTGTGGTCTGGCTGAATATTTCAGGAGCAGAATAAAAGCCCCTCTCCAACTCGTCTGTCCCTGAACACCCAAATAAGGGTGTATGTATTCAGCACAGCACTGCTCCCAACCCAAGCCCAGAACACCAGCAGGTGCTTCTCCCTCTCTTTTCATCATCTGCGCGTAGCTGATGTCTCCTGCCAATTTCAAAGGCGAGCAAACACAATGGTGACAGGGGGCGAAGCAGCTGGGGGGGCGGCATGCAGGGGGCATGGAGGGGGCTCTGCTTGGCAAGGTGAGCGGTGCCTGCCAGGCCGGCGGCCGGCCCTGCCAGCTCTCTTTGTGCAGCTCTGGGAAGGAAGGGGGGAAGAAAGAGACAACAGCAAGAGTCAATTCAAAGTGAAGCGCCTGGGGCCAGCGAGCCACGGCTGATCTGTGCCAGCTGCGAGCCACTGCTCCTCTCTTCAATGTGCCAATTATTTTGCTGGAGTAGAGGAAGAAACAGCCACCAGACGTGTGCATTCGTGGCCGATGGGGCTGGAGGAGGGCGGTGTGGATCTACGGCAGGGCTTTACTTGCACCCCACTGACCCACAGACATTACAAATCCTTTAATGCCTGGCATTCGGGGTGTGCTCCGTGCACAGCCACAGCCTGGCCAGCCCAAACTCCGGGTCCTGAGGGAGAGGAAAAGGGTGGCCATGGTCCCCATGCCTATCCCAGAGAAGGGAATGCTGCAAACCCAAGCCTGTGTCTGCCGGGGAGCCATTCCCTGAGCTGCTGCAGGGATGGGACCTCAGCACTGGCTTGCTCAGATCTGCTTCAGATAATCGGCTGGCAGGGAAAATGTCTGACCCTGAACATGACCCTGCTGAGCCGCTGGTGTCAGCATGGAGGGCAGTCCTCTCTGCTGTTCTCTGTCCCCTCTGTCCCACAGCCCCCCAGGGGATGGCCAAAGGATATTTTTGCCCCTTTTGTGTGCTCCTGGGTGGAAGAGTGTTGTTCCCCTCAACCACAGCCGCTGTCCCTGAGCTGGGATGAACAGCACCTGCGTGGGAGGAGGGTTGGGATCAGGACAGCTCTAACACCCAGGGTGGGATGCTGGGGCTGGGGAGATGGCACGGCTGTGGTTGCCAAGGGCTTTCGAGGAGGGACTCATGCAGCATGGCAATGCCGTCTCGCAGAGGAGCACCACAGGCACACAGCGGCTGGTGTCGGGCAGGGGGACTCTCTGTGGCCCCTCCAGACCGTGGCACCGCAGCCATGTGGGCCCCTTGGGAAGGCCGCAGTGGCTGGTGGCCCCCGAGGAGCATTTTCTGGGGACTCGACATTTTGCACCCCGAGCTCTTGAGGCCCGGCCTGTGGTGGGTCACCCCGGCCCCCGCCCGCTGTGCCGCCCTGCCACAGGCCCTCCCTGACCGCAACAAACTCCTCTAAAGCCGCACAGCGAAGCGTTAGGGCCTTCGCTGGGTGAACACTGCCCAGCCCTGCCCGCCCCCGCCGCCC